GGTGCACAAGCAAAAGCACCATCTTGATCAAGTGAAGTGACAAAGTACGATGTTCATGTGGGATTCATAAATCAGGCTTTGAAGAACCAATCCAACAGGTGTACCCTCAGCATGCTGACACGTCAGACAATTCTGTGGTTACGAATTTACGGCTACTTCCCAAGTAGATATTGCAGGATCACTTCTAACTGCAAAGATTGTCTCATTTCTGAAAAGCCAACGCACCTGCTGCTCTGATTTTACTAAATTATAAATTTAAAAAGTCATTATATTGTTTATAATTTGCAAAGATTATTATTTTATATTATAGGGAGTTGAACTTCTGTAAATCACATGCAACAAGTTATAAATTCCTCCAAATGACCACCATAATTGTTTTCACAAAAAGTACATGTATCACTCAATCAAATCACTTTCAGTTTTGACTGTTGTGCTTTCAGGGTGCATAAAAGCAAAAAACAAAACAAAACAAAACAAAACAAAAAAAACACCCCCACCAACAACAAAAAAAGTCATATGATGGATATTCTAAAAGTGACATATTATAAGTTAACTTATTCCACCCCACTCAACAAGATGCACAATATTCCTGAGAAGTGCTACGAGAAATGTTGAAGTACAGTGACTTTGCACAAACAAGGGTGGAGTTGAAATTCACCATTGATAAAAGACCAGCTCAGCCTTAAGAATGCTAGCACTGTATTTGTCTTCATTACATTACCTAACAATACGTGAACCAAACAAACATGACTATAATTATTCTGACATTCCAATGTTTTATAATGTGATTTAAAATCATTCCAGGAAGTGAAAAATCCAACTTGTTTGACCTCCATAATACGCTTAAACAAAACCCACGCTTTAGTCTCATAAACCCAATATTTGCTGTAGAAACAATTTAACTATAACTGCACTTATTAAGCTTCCTAGTAAAAAATCCATAAATAATTCTCTTCAGTAGCAAGAGTCAAAGTCCAAGTTTTGGTCATTTAAAAAAGTCTATTCAAGCTGTTGCTGTTCCTTCCAAAACCCTCCTGTCCCTCCTAACATGCTTTCACGGAGAATATAGTTAAGCAGCACTTGCCCTTGTACACTAATGGGAATTCATTTCAGTGATGTGTTCTTCTCACCTTGTGGAAGGCTTTCCCACTGATATTTTTGTGTGTTCTCATCTCTCATTAGTCAAAGTAGATTCTACCTGCTGTGTTATTATTCCACTAACTTCTCTATATTATTTGTCCAGCTTAAGAGGTGAAGTTTCAATAAATAAATACCACAAAAGAGAAGGTACAAGTGATGCAGTTGTTTGAAGCTTCTCCATTATTTGAAAGGTATTCACTGATATTCCCCTTATATGATCCTCAGTCCTCTGACTGCAAGACTGAAGTCTTCTCTGGTTTGGCATTTCTAGATAATTGCAGGGATTCCAGACACAGAGTTACTTAGCTCATGCTACCAGCCTCCTGGCAAAGGTAGAGCTGCTTTAAAACACTGAAAACCATTTAACTATGAGTCAATACATAGTACGGCAGCACAAATGTAAATTTTTATTGATAGACTCAGAAAAGTGAAACAGATAAAATTACAGCCACCTAGGAATGATTTGGTGAAAAACACGGACACAAGCTATTTCCTGAAAACAGTGAGGCACTGCTGAGGAGAAAAGCAAAGGCTACTTTAAAAATAACCTTTCTCCTAAGCACAGAAGAACACTGAATGTCCTTATCAGGGAGGAGTAGCAAAGCCTGTCTCCCCAGCCCTACAAAGAAGTGCTTGGAATTCAAGACACAGCTTACCATCACGAGTAGAAATTCAGGTCAGTAAAAGTAGGAGGCAGTAAGGCTTGTAGAAACATGCCTGCCTGCCTATTCAGAGGCTTCACATTGTGATTCAATCGGATCTGCCTAGTGCACGCTTCAAACAACACGAGGTTATTCAGAAATGTACACACACACAATGGCTCTCTCCTGCCTTCTCACAAGAAGGTGTCAGAAGCTTGTCTACAGCGTCCCTACAGGCTAAACCCACAGTTCTGCTTCCCTCAACACTGAAAATTAATATTTCCTCTCAAGCAACAACTAGGTTTTGGGATCTGTGAGCTACTTTAAGCTCATGAGGAGTTTATATTCACAAATACTATTTAAAAAACAAACAAAACCACAAAAACAAAACCAAGCAAACAAAACAAAATCACAAAAAACCCATAGTTATTACCATTAATCTCTTGGGGGTCTAAGAGCCTTCAGATGTTTGGAAGATGTTGCAGGAAGAACTCAAAGATGAAATTAAGGGAAAATCCATGTTATTCTTGGCTCCTTCTCATATGCTCCAATTATTTCCTTTTCTCATTCTTCTGAATGATCCCTCAAAACACTGTGTGCCCTTATCTTTCAGACTTATATGTGACAATTGCATATTTTTATTTTCTTTCTCACAAAAGAAATTACACTAAGTATCGAGATCAATAAATATTTTAGTAGTTTCCAGAGGAAGTTATATTTATGCAAACTGAAGCCTGTGCTGACTGAAGCCTGGTTATATGCTACATAACCAGTATATTTCTCAGGAATATTTCAGCCAAATGCCTATCATTTGACCTCAGTATTCTGAAGATTTCAAAAGGAGTCACACACAAAGAGTTTAGCTCACTATATTTGCCAGAACAAAAGCTTACCCTACAGTCTACATGGACTTCTATTTTAAAATAAAGAGTAAATTTAACAAAGTATTTCTAGTGAGATTAGGAAAGTGAATTGTGTCACAATAACATTGTTTTTTGTTTATCAGCCAGTATTACATACAGAAATTTTTTGTCAATTACAGCAGGTCAGCTACTAATCTGAGTAACATCCACTCTAACTAGCAGCTAGATTACAATTTGACTCAGGTTGACCTCCAGGTAAAAATTAAACCATGGATTCTGAAACCATTTGTAGCAGGACACAGAGTAGGATCAATAAGGGATACTCATTTCTCTAGACAGAGAAATCATCTGCCTCATCAGTTGCACAGGATCCCCAAAAAAAACTAATGCAGTCATGCTGAAGGCTGGAGGAGATGACAAGGAATTAGATGACTCAAACACTTCTTGTTTCTTTACACTAAAGTTTAGTTCTAGGAGAATGAAAATAAGTTTAAAACTTCCATGTTTAGAGACATGCAGTACAGTAACCACCTTTTTCTCCAAGTGCTGGTTCCCACATAACCAGCTAATTTTAGTTTTTATTTTTTCATTTTCCTCTATCACTTAACTAGGATCTATAGACACCCCTTGCAAAGCCCACAGAGAAAAAGCCTCCATGATACAACACTGAGAACAGCAGGAGCCTAACCCATAATGAAAGCTCTTAAATGCTGCGATAACACAGATGAAGAGACATTGACAGAAAAGAGATGTCACAGCTCTTGTCCTGTATAACAGCACTTTCAATCACTAAATGATCTGTTCTTCTCTGGCTAGGCTGTACTCAGATGTACTGCTGTCTAGATGAAGAAAGTTCACTATCACCAGCACACAACCTGTTACCAGTATTACATATAATTTTCTTGTTGTCCAACCCAGAAAAAAAGTCAGTAAGTGCACTAATGTGCAAATTGAGTTGTTTGTAAAATTCAGATTTGGTTTGTTGGGTTAATAGATAGTTAAGAGGGTTATATTGTTGCTGCACCTTGCAGACAAACAAGGTAAGGAGAGAGCAGAACCAAAAACCCCTATCAATAACCTCCTTGCAGACTGGAGATCTGGGTGAGCTAATTATGTGGCCCTTTTCTACCGCTTCAACAAAAACGAAATACAAACCTATGCATTATTGTTCAACCTGTGAGGCATGAAACAGAAACTAAAACTAGCAATACTAAGCTACCACAGCATGAAACAACTGCCTATCTGGAGAATATGTTTCTCTTGTGGACGCTTGATGGACCTGGAGAATAGAATTCTGAAGACACTGTTTACTGAGTTGGCTACTCAAATGGATAATTAGTTTCTACTAGCTGTAATGCAGCCACTAAGCATTTTGAACACTTCATGCCAAAACATATCAGAACACATACCTGTCATCATGCCACTGAACTGAAAACTAGTACCACACAGTAAAAGGCTGGAGGAAGTGAACACACAATAAACCCTCAGATGGCAAAAATTCAGTGCTACAGCCTTCTGCAATGCAAAAAATGCCATTGCCCTCACTGCTGAAGCATAAAGAATATCAATTATATTTAAATCCTTCTGATGTTTGTCATTAAAGAACAAATTTAGTAGACCACTTACACTCAAATTTCCTTAATAGAAAACTGTCACTTCATATGAAAATATGGAAATTGATAGGTCGCACGCATAATTAACTCAACAAGAGAATGCTGTATGAGTTTATATTAAACAGTGAAAGCAGTGAGGTCTTTCAAAAGCGAGTTTGAAAGGAACTGTACCTTCTCCAGAGTATTTCTTAATGCAGAGAGGTGGATGCTGGTGGCCTGAAGCCTGTCCCTGGGCTCTCCTTGTGTTTATCTGTCCATCCTGCAGCGGTGCAGGCACCGACGCACCGTACCTGCCCGGGCTCGGCGCCCCTCCGGGCGCTCTCCCCTGCTGACCGCCTCCCAAGTGGGCAAGTTTAGCCCTGTTTAATCACCCTTAAGACCCTTTAAACGCACCCAAGGTTTGCCCCCTACAAAGGGGTTTAGGGGTGCTTGGTTTTACAATTTACGAACCAGTTAAGCTCTGGCAGCCTTGTTGTCTTTTTCCTCCCAAGCGCACACGCAACCCCGACGAATTCACCCGGCGCTCCAGGACAGCCCACGGACTCACTCTCGGGTCTGGGGTCCGTGCCGGCGTGCGGGATGAGGGCTGGGAGCCGAGGGCAGGCTCGGCAGCCACGGGGCGGGCGAGCGGCGGCTCCAACCCCGCGCAGCACCGGCCCCGCAGGCTGAGCTCTGCCTGCGGCGGCCCCGCTCCCCTCCCTCCCTCCCTCCCTCCCTGCTCCCCGCCGCTCGCCCCCACTCACCGCCACCGAGCCCGAGGAGGAGGCGACGAAGACGCGGATCACCATCTTCACCTCATGAGCCGCGGCGGCGGGAGCGGACGGGACGGGGCAGCGAGGCTGCGGGAGCCGCTCCCCCGCACGGACGGGGCCGGGGCCGCCCGGCTCCACCCCGCCACCGCCCCCGAGGGCGGCCACGGCCCGCAGCACCCCCGCCCTGCCCTGCCCTGCCCGGCGGCCGCAGCCCCTCTCGGTGAGCCGGGTCCGGCTCCCGGCTGGCAGGAGGCAGGCGATAGCGGCGGGAGGCGGGAGTGTGGGGGCAGCGCGCAGGGACCGACGGGCGCTGTAGTCCCGCCCGGGCGGGGACAGCCGCAGGACGGAGGTGGGAGGCAGCCTGCCCGCGCCCGGCTGCAGGGGAAACAGAGGCGAGCGGCAGCCTGCCCACCCCTGGCCGCCGTGCCCAGCGCCCGGGCCTGCCCGGTGCTACCGGGAGCCTTTGGGGAGGCTGAGAGCGGCTTGCGCCGCCCTCCAGGTGAGTTGCCCAAAGGTCCAGGTGAGCAAGGGGTGAAATTGACCCACCCCGCCAAGAGGGCTGCTCCTGGCTCACAGCTCAGGCTGCCCCTGGTCCTCCTGCCCCGTGCAGAGCTGCCGGCTCTGCTCCGCCGGGGCCGGGTCTGGACCCTCTGGCCGCCGCTTGCTGCGGCAAAGCGGCGGAAAATGAAGCCGTTCTAAGGCAGGCGCCCCTGAGGAGGCAAGCTAGAGTGACAGCACAAGGTGGGTAGGTCACTGGGCAAGAGAGCTGTCCTACACCAGACATCCCAAAGGAGTTAAACGGTGCTGCCAGTTTTCATTCTCTGGTATAGATGTACAGTTCCCAATATTGTCAGCGGTGGAACAGATGTTATTAATCAACGGGATAAGCAGATAACCCCAAATAACCCTTCATCAGTCAGCTCATCTGCAAGGAACCAAGGGGAATCCCTACAGCCCTTGGGTCAGCTTTTGGGTATGTGAGGACACAGCCTGTCTTTATTTAAAGTCTAAGAACCACATACCTGGCAGCCTTACACGTGTTACTACAGTTGCAACTCTCATCTTCTTGCGTCTTTACGTGCAGCCAGATGGTTATTCATTTCCTCTGACTAAACTCTCCACCGTTTCACCCCAATGCTGAAGAGCGTGGTGTCAGCCTCTTTCACACCTTTGCATTGCCACAGCCCTCAGTGATCTTCCAGTGTCCAGACTAACCAGACCTTGACTTGCTGCTAAATATGTCCTTAAAACTTTCTTTACATTTTAATATTGATCATCTGTTTTGAAATCCTGCAGGTCTTGAGGAAGGTACCTATCAAGAGCCATAAAATGCTCAGTGCTCACTTTGAGCTTGATTTATCTTGTGAAAGTCATTGGGAAGCTTTCCACTGACTTCACTGTCCTCTGGAGTGGAGCTTAATGTCAGCACTATACAAAGTCCAGTCCTAAAATGTGAATTCAAGTACCAATCCCACAAGGGTTTACAGCTACACATTACTTTGCTTTCATGAGAGTGCTTGTTGAAAAAAAAGAGTAAACATCATCAGGGTACACTTAGGTACAAAGGTTAAGATTTTCTGGCTTTGGTGCTCCTGTCTTCACTTAAGCATAACTTTTACTGTGGGAACCACCAATCAGTGACCAACAAGTGTTTACTGCTTAATTGCTGCTGACTGCTCAGCAAAAGGAACAAAGGAGACAAACTTCTCTTTATGTTGATTTGTAAGGTACCACCAAGCAGCTTGATAAAATTCTGTGATAGGTGTGTATTTATAGGAATTTGCTGGAAAATTCCCATTACCTTACTCAGTGAATTTCCTTCAGACTGCAGGATTATTTCTAACAACATCTTTTCCTGTGTTTCTCTTAAGTTTTCTTTAAAAGACAGAGGTGCTTACTTCCCACTTGTTCTCTATTTACTCACTACTAGAAAATATTGGGTTTAATATTCTATTTTGGCAGTCTTTAATGAAACAAATAGAATCAGGGCAACTCACTGCAGCTGGCTGTATGTGATTCACTCACGGCACTTCATATGCTATACTCACTGTATAGAATTACACTGTAATATTAATAACTCCTGCTTTCTAATAAATTTCTTAAATACGGCAGGGGAAAAAAAAAAGAAAAAAATTATAAGTCTGATTCTGAAAGCTATTGAACATCTTTATCTCTCAGTAAATAGAAGAAGAGGATGCTCCTACCTCTCAGAGAGAGCCTTGACACATAACACATAACCAGTAGCCTAGAGAAACCATGTTGCAATGGCACTAACTGGAAAAAGCATGAGCTCTAAACAAAAAAATTAAGAATTCTCATAGGACTGTAAAAACTGTAACTAAGGTATTTTAAAAGTTATTTCCTCTCCTTTTAGGAATCCTCTACTTTGTAACCTTCAAAAGCCACAGATTTAGTCTCCTTTCCCATCTGGAAAACAAACAATTTTCATTTCAGTTCACTTGGAAGTGTTTCAGAGCTGCATAAATTCACAAAAAGCTATGAGGAAAAAATGATGTAGTTGGAAAGGTAGAACTATCACCTGTTAGAAGAATCCAGACCCACTACTCCATTTCAAATGCCCCAAACTGATCTGTAGCCAGCCAAGACAATGTACATTTTTCTTTTTGTTTTTAGATTCTCCCTTTTGCTCCTTAGCCCTTCGGTTGGGAGGCTTCTGCAGTTTGAGTTTCAAAACAGAGTCTAAGCAGCTAAGCTCACAGCCAGAGTTGATAGACTCAAATGGAGCTAAAGTGTCAGAGCTCGTGGAGGTCTTCCATCCACCACACTTGACACAGCTTTAGCCAAAGCTTCAGCATCCTTATTCCACACGTTTAGAGACACCATCAAAGACAGAGCAGGGGGCTTCCTGCCTGCATTCAACCACTTCACAACAAATACCACAACTTAATTAAAGTGTCCTTTCAAACACCCTTTGAAGCAGATTTTTAACAGATCTGTATTTCAATGAATATTCTTTTAGTTCTCAATAAGTAAATTTATAATACTTTGGGCTAAAAATTTTGCGCTTCTAACTTCTTGGTATCAACTTGGGTGCAACATGGGCATTGAAAATCCAGACAGCCTTTTCATTTATCTCTTTTGCTAGTGTATCCATACACATCAAGAAGCTAGTTCATTGTGGAAATAATCCAGAAAATTAGGAAAAATAAACATTACACTGAGCAGTTAAAGACTTTAAAGCTTGTAGAGCAGCTTCTTACTTTACATGGCTCCTAAGCAGGGAACTATTACTCTGCAGAGGGTAAAACCAATCAGACATTATCACGTGACATTTTGCACTTGCAGGTGGTGTACAGGTTAAGACTGGACATCATGCTCTGTCCTGCAGCTGCTGCTGGTAAATGTCCTGAGGCCATTTATTTAAAGGCCACACCTTTAACTCCATTCCTATTGTATAGATCTAGAGGCTTGAAGGCAATGGTACAAACATTTAGTTAAGTAGAGGAAATGTAATAAATTAAAAACATTGCTAAAATGATTTATGAGCAGTTTCCAGTGTTTGCAGGAGGGGCAGGGGGTAGTTTCTAAAGATTTCGTGGTAAGAGTGATTCATTGTTATGCCAGATCTTCACGGAAGATTAAACAGAACTTTCCCGCTGCTAAGGTAACAAAGTACACACAAAATCAAGGCGTATGAGTATGTGAAAACAGAAGTATGAAAGTACAGCTTTGAACAAAGAACATTCTAACTATGATAAAAGATGAATTGTATAGCAAGATACAACAGGGATAGGAGAAAAATATGGGAGAAACAGAATATTATGTTCAGGACTGGAAAAGTGCTTGAGATGGCTTCATTTCTCACCTGAAAGGAACAGTCTGTCTTAGGCATATTAGAAGTTTTCTGGTCTTTGTGTTGCTGGTACCCATCAGTTACTTCTGTGTAATGTTGCTAAGAAGTAGTAAAATCATATAGACTCTGCAACAATCCACATATTTGAAATTTCTAAAGAATTCTTTAGCACTTTTTAAAAATTCAAAGTATCAAAACATGTTGAAAATTACAGTTTTAGAGTTTCATTAAAAGATCTGACAGTTCTGAGCAATCTTGCTTGGTAGGAATGTGACTGTCATGGTAGGGAGCAAAAAAGAGTAGCGAAAACATAGTGCTCCAGCATCGACAGAGCTGCAGAATATCATCAACTGCTCTCACACTGCAGAACTCAAGAGAAAGATAACTTAAAGGCTCTAAAACATGCAGAATGGCCAAAGTAATGTAATGTAAGTACAGGACTGTTGCACTTGTTGCATAATGACAGTCAGTGTGGTGGCTGATGGCCTATAAACATCTTGGCTAGACACAGCTTGAAAGCACATGCAATAATGCTGTTTGGAGCCCAATCCTCTGCATACATCCTAGAAACCACTGTATTTTTAAGGTATCATTTTAATCGCAAAGGAACCTCCAGGATACGTTTTCTCAGTTGTGCTTTAATGCCTGCAGCTGTGTGCTGTACCTGCTGTTATGAGTCCTCCTCTACATGCAGAACAGGCAGCCCCTAGTCAGGATCACCTTATCCCTTGCAGAAATGCCTTGGATGTTTTATTACTCACCAACATCTCTCAATAACAAGCTCAGATTCACATAAGACTCTGTTTTTCCAGAACCTTCCCTGTGGCCAGAGGTTTACATTAAGAGCATTTCTCAGCTATCCCCACAGTCAGATTTTAGAGATAATGTCCCAAGACAAAGCTTTTTCTCTTTTGACTTGAATTACTCTGAAGCTACTACAAAGCACATGTGTTAAAGCAGGTTCTTGGAAAGAGACAGAGCTGGAACAACTTTGAGAAAGGTTTTGACACTCGCATTCACAAACTTGTGGTATGTTGAGGAAAATGGAAAGGTAGCACTGTTCTTGATTTCAGAATGATTTCTGTACCATCTCTTTATAACTAACTGAATAAAAAGAAAGCCCAAAAAATAAAAATAAAATAAAAAAAAAGAAAAAGAAAAAAAAAAAAGAAAAATCCTCAGAGAGCCGAGTAAGCCTTCCTTCATACCATTTAAATCTAAATATACCTAGATAATTCCAGAGCTGTATGAGTCCATTCTTCTCAGCTGCTGCCCTTTAGTCTGCTGCATGACTGGTTTTAGTATCTGTGGCTGATTTGATTCCCTCCATGAATTCCTAATACTGAGGACCTTTGAAAAGAAAAACATTTTCATGTGAAATTCATCATCTGATACCGCTCAGTCAGCTGACATGCCATAACTGAACCTGGAGATTATTACATCCTTCATGCTCTGTATTAAATCAATCATCATTCCTTAAACTTACAGCTACAACTTATAAGAAGTTCCAGAGTTCATTTTCTACTTGTGTGTTTAAAGATCTCACCATTTCTGAAGATGGTGGCTCTAACTGAGGGGCAGGAAATCAGGCAGGTTTCATTCAGTGAACCTTCTACCCTGCCTACTCTTTCAGTCCAAGATACTGCAAACAAATCAGGCTCGACAATGGCTGGTTCAGTAGGCTTGTGTCCTTATTTCTGCTAATTTGAAAAACCTTCAGTACTCTTCATTACTGCAGAGGGATGCAACCCCCCACAAATCCCATTTCCCCATCTGCAGTTCCAGTGAAACCTGAATTAGTGAGCACTCAAGATGTGAAGTGCACTCAGGGAGCAGCCATAGAGCATTACAGTCCTGCCAGCTCCTCCAGGAGGGACCTTCTGCCAAGCCCTTTGAAAAGCAATCTACCACCACATCCATTTTGGCTGTTTTCCAGCTGGTTTTCCATGTCTGACCAGTTCTACTCTGACAAGGTACTTTAGAAGATTCATTTCTTACAGGATGCAGGAGAATTTGGTCTGTAATAATATTTACGTATACAAGGACAAAGAAAAAGTAAACTTGTGGAGAATAAGAAGCAGCTGAGTGAGTACATGAATATTGGCAACTTTCCCCAAGTGTATGCAGTAAATGAACTAAGAATAGTTAACATTTTTATAGTTAGGAGTTTTTTAGATGTTTCACAGCACAGAGAGGTGGGGAAACCTCTCAGACTTGGAAAGCTGACACAAATTTGAGGATAAAGATTATGTGTGCGCTCATTTCAAGCATGGGTTCAAGCCCACAAATGGGGGCCACGTTCATATTGAGGAGACCCAAGACTCTACTCCCTCACAGGTTTGAGATGACCTTTGGGAACCAGCAGGAGAGAATCTTTGGCCCACCCTTACTCCTCAGCCAAAGGTGCAGTGTGGACAAGCCTACCCTGCCACAGGTGTAGCCCATCTTTCTGCAGAAGATCCTGGGCAACGGACAGAGATTCTGCCCACAGACAGGAGGCATAAATGGCATGAATTCAACTCCATAAAAACAGCTGCAGCCAACCTACTGGCATTCTTCTAGGCCAGGGGAGTGCTTCCCTGATGGCATTGCATGTTTCATGGTGAGGAACCAAGAAGAGTGAAAGAGTGGTGAAACCACATGGGTCTTGTTACCCAAACTGGAGAGGAGATGACCCAAGCTGGAGAGGGGACTAGTAAGTTTGAGCTGAAGCTGATGGAGGGAGAATGAAAAATGTGGCAGCAATGATTAGGGAAGTGCTGCGGACAGGCTATATTGCCCTACATGGGAAATTATTGTGATTCATGGGCTGGTTTTAACAGAGAGGACCCTCCCCTGCCTGTGCAGAAGCAGAAGAGACTTGGATTCAGAGCAGGAGTGCACTGGGTGGAAAGCAGCTGCCTGGCCTGGCAGATCAGCATAGATAAAATCTGCTCAACTAATACACTGAACAAAGGAACATGTAGAAGTCAATGTAAGCCAGGCTAAACAGCAGCCAAATAAATGAGAAACCATACAATGTCTCAGGCAAAGGATAGAGAAATCATTGTCCTTCCATGCATTGTCTTTCCAGTCTCAACCCAAACTCTTTTGTGCCAAGCATGGACTTGCTTGTCAAAGTATATCCACTGTCTGTATTCTTTGGCAAAGTAATCCTGCAAAATTGGCTAAAATGTATTTATTCCTTTCAGATTTGTAGAATAAAGTTCATTATGTTTTGCATTTCCATGGCCTGTACCCTAATTGGGTAGATATCTGTGATGCCCGGTCTATTTTCTATGCATAAAAACCCCCTACCAGTTCTATTTAAAACAAGAAGAGATAACTTTGACTTGATATTAACTTTTTAATGGTGATTACTACAGTTTAGGAAAGTCTGAGAAATATTAAACTCAACACAGTAGATACTTTGGTGTCATAATTGGATGCAGCATTTCTTAATGGAATCTGGATAATAGGACAAAAAACAGACCCTTTCTCAGAGTTTTTGGACTACAAAATAGGCTTCACTGGAATCCAGTGTGAGGGGTTCCTCCTGAGATCACTCACATCATCAGTGGGTAAAACACTAGCAAGGGTCCAGCAAAGACCTCATGGAAGACTTTGCAGAAGGGAAAAATATTGTTTCATAGGTCCATAGAGCCAGTTCAGCTCCTTCATTTCAGTTCACCATGGAATCACTAAAGCCCATAGCTGCATTCCTTATTCCCATTGAGTAGACCTTGCTCAGACAAGTCGCATTCAGTGAAATAAATGTGACTGTGTGAAAGATGGATACTCCACAAAATGGGTTGTGGATTCATGCTGGGAGACAGCAACTCCTGGAATCATCATGAACTCAAAGGTCAGATTCTTTTCAGGATATGACTGGCGAGGGCCTCACAAAACTTCCAGTGCATGACCCAGTGGTGAGACACTGGCCTAGAGGGCGAGAAAACCTGGCTTGGTTCTGAGTTTAGCAGTCTACCTAGTTTGCAGCAGGCAGAGAATCAGAGAATTATATATGTCTTGTATATCTTCTTTAAAGCAACTTCTGAGAGACAGTCTCGTTTTTGATATTTCTTTTAGGATCTTTCCATATTTTCGCTCACTGGCATGCAGCCATTAAAGATGACAAGCAGGAGATAATTATTAGTCATGGTTTTCATACTTACAGACATCTCCATTTTACTTAGACTCAGCTTTACCTGCGGTGTCTTCACGCTGTCTACTTGTTGCTGTCACTTCCAAGCCTGGGCTGTCTCACCTTTTTGTCTGAAAACTGCATCTTCATTCAACGAGAGTGATTTTTACGGGACTAGGGTATAATGAAGATCATGGTTGAAGATACAGTTTCTCTCATAGGCTGGAATTCATGTATTAAGAATATTAAACTCCTTAAGGATTCAGAGTAAATTTCTAATGAGACTGATCAAAAACAGTGCTGTGAGCTTCCCCAGGAACTAAGGGCTATTTATACTTCTTGGCACAAGTTACACTAACAAACAAATAAAAGCAAGTGAACCGGGTTATGATATTTCTTCTATGTTTGGAACTTGCTGAATTCCAACAGAGATAGCAACCTTTGTCAGTGAAGCAAATATTTTTTATCTGTCACATGGAAATTCATGTCTTGCTTTAATATGGGAAATTAAAGACTGTTCCCAAATTGGTTTAGTGCCACAGGGCTGGTTCTTGCACAGAAGCAGCTCTGTTATCTACCAAATTTTAGTATGGGCTTACTAAATTCGATTTGCATCAGCATACATAATACATTTTATGATATTTACATCCTTCAGGAATTTAGGAGACTAGAGGAGAAAACAAAATTTAAAAAAAACACCCAACCTGCATACAGTCTTCTTCTCAGCTCCTCACTCTCTGGTTCCCTCTGTGACCTTACAGGTTTTTGCAGTATTGATTTGTAGCATTTCCTAAAATGTTAGTTCTTTTTCTAAAGGTTCTGCTGTCCTTTTCCTGGTTTAGAAAAAAAATGTTTTAGTTATAATGAATGATTCATAGCTCCTGCAGATCATTCAGGGACGCCATTCATAATTAATGATTAAAATGCAGTAATAAAACATGAAATGTTTGAAAGTCAGCAGTGACGTCTCTAAAGGTAGATCTTTGACAGAAACTGCTGACAGCATCAGAAACTCTCCCTCTATAAATATATATTCAAAGATAATAATTTTGCTCTTTCTTTTTTTCCACTTTTGCATTCTTTCCCTTGCAGGCATCTTCAATATTCTAGCAAGTGACAGTTTGTCTATAATTTAACTTAATATTTTTCTTTCTTAATTTACATTTTCATTCATTTTTAACCTGCAGTGATTATTTGCATGGGAAGAAATTGTCTTCAAAGTCTATATTTAGCCTGATATATCGGATTAGAAATGTAAGCCAATCATCCAATGAGGTTAATTTTAAATCCTGTGGAAATTGTACCACTCTATTCAGTTTTCTCAGCACTGGTGCACACCTTGTTTGAGGTCATATGACATTTAACTCCAATGTCGAATTTGGTTTCCTACCAAAAGGAATACATGCAATACTCTAAAAAGAGTACTTTTAGAATTTATAAGCAGAAGTCTGAGCAGTTTTTTTTTTTTTTAAGCTGATGACCTGAGGACTGTGATTGTGTTTTAAAATATGCAAAGAATTAACAGAAAAGTCAAGGAAAAAGAGCAGGAACTTGTGTTTATTCTACTTTTCCTACCACAAACAGTATTCACCAATACTTGCTTCAGGGTCACCCACCAACACTGGTAGACCTGCATTTTAGTCAGTGCTGTATTTATTATATTTTGCCAAGATAAATTCAGTTTATACTATTTTAAGTTCTATACTTGCCATAACTGCATCCTTCCACCTCGTTCTCTCTCTTCAAAAAAGTCAAACATTTTGAATTTTTTTTTTTTTTTAAGTAATATCACTGTTTTCTTGGCACTGACTGTCTAGGGATGACTATCACATTCATCATCCCCATCAAATCTATTTATATCCATTGGTTAAAATTCAGCTTGTGATCACTGAGCTGCAGATGGAACTCCCTGAAGAGCAAAGGAGTACATGCATCTGTGCCAGGAACAGTTGGAATCACTGTGGAGAGGGGGCTGAGAGGATCTGTCATCACACAGTCTTTATCCCTTCAGCCTCAGAGAGGTGTCAAAAAAAAGCAAAGACTGCTACCTCACCTATGTATTAGTGTCATTAGGGCTTTCAGTGGACTCAAGAGAAACCTGATTTTTCAGGGCTTTTTTCAAGGTCACATGAATTTTCCAAGTAATGGAAGAGAATATAGGAAGTAGATGTGATTGTCAAACTTCTAAGGAACTACTAATGAAATACTAAATAAATGTAATTTTAAATTATGAAAAATGCAAGTAGGAGTAAATGTGGTTTTGCAGCAGAACTTGTTAAACGAGAGACGGAGGCAGTTCTATTCAAACCTCTGAACTTCTGGATGATCTGTGACAGGGATATTTTTGTTTTCTGGAGCATGAGCTCACTTGAATATTTCATTTCCTGAAGCGCATAAACAGGAGCTGAAGAAACAGTTTTAAAAAAGAGGGAAAGACCTGAGAGTTGGAAAGGATATTCTCCTCCAAGGCCATGAGCCACTCAGGAGGGTCCTCGCCACTGCAGGGCTGCACTGGTTTCATGAGGGCTCCAGGTGGACATCAGGGTGTCTCCTCATGGAACGCTGTGGAATTAGGCTAAACTGAACATATTTAATATTATCTCAGAGAGCTAAGCTGCTTATCACTGTGTGACAGATAATACATTATACAGCTGAGTGGCTAATAGATTAAACAGAGAAAGGCTGATGGCAGGGCATTTTCAGCTTCTTTGGCTTATATTCTTCCTCTAGGAATGACACTGTTAACTTGGAAGGTGCAGGCAAGATTCTCAGCTTTCCTCTCAACTTCCAGGTTTCTCCAGAAAACCTGCTTTAAAATATGTAGAAAGTAAACGCCGTCTTCTGTATGCAAAAAATTAAGCAATCCTAAAAGTCATCATGTTTTATAAATATTGACATGAATGCATCCTAATCAGGAATGAGGATTTAATAATTAGTTATATGTATTATTAAAGGAAGTCAAATGTTAAGAACTCTTTAGTTTGGTTCTGAAATTTCAGCTTTCGATTTCAAAAAGGGGGTTCAATCTACAGAAGTACAAATGAAACATGTCTGCTAAAGGAAAGGTATTTGTATATAGTTATACTGGTGTGCACAAGCCACCAATGATCCCTGTCCAGAATGCAGCCTGAGAAGGATCAGGATTTCCCATTTGTAACTATTGCCATAAATGAAATTAACGGAACTGACAAGCTAACAGCATCTGCATGAAATAAAGGGGTATTTTTATTTTCCAAATTTATATTTTAGGAAGTTGTTCTTACTTACTTAAACCATTCCAGACACTGGAACTCTGTCTCCTTCCCTGTTAAATTGTGACATGGCTTTTGTGGATCAGCTAGCAATCTCCCCAAGGATTTCCATGCACACTCTGGGAGGCAGCACAGGCCAGGACACACTGCTGGTTTAGATACAGCAACACCACTTCAGAATCACCGAATTACAGACTAATATAGTTTGGAAGGGATTTCTGGAGGCCATCAGTCAGACAAGCTGCTAAAAGTAGGGGCAACTAGATTGGGCTGCTCAGGGCTGTGTCCTGTTGAGATTTTATCTCCAAGGCTGGAGACTTCATCACCTCTCTGGGCAACCTGCTTCAGTATTTGACCACCCTTGTGGTGAACAATTTTTTCCTAACATCTGCTCAGAATTCCCCACGTTTGCCATGCGTGTTCAGCTGCCTCTCATCATCCCACATGGCACCTTACAGAAGAGTCTGGATCAGTCTTCCCCACACCCTCCCGGCAGGTAACAGCAGACAGAGGATCCCAGGGTACATTACTAACTCATGTTCAACCTGTTGTCCATCAGCATCCCAGGTTTTTTTCAGAAGAACTGCCTGCTGGCTCATACTTGCCTCTGGGTTTGCTCTGTCACCGAGTGACAGTGGAGCCTGAGGGTCTCACAGACTGGGGCCAGCTCTGCAGTGCCTGCAGAGCCAGCAGGGCCGGCCTGGGGCAGTGGTGGGTGCAACCCAGACCCTGTGGTCACCAGACTGGTCCACAACAACGGTGCTGCCTGGGGTGAGCTGAGAGGTCCCATCCGCAGGTCAGTGCCCTTGGCACAAGACAGGCAGCTGAAAGCAGCTCCCGATGGCAAGGGTTGGCCCTGACTGCAGCTCCTCCACAGCACACTGGAGAGCTCTCCCCAGTTGCCAGAGGCCACTGCCAGGTGCACAGGTAGGGATCTAGCCCCAAGCCCAGCAGTCAAAACCCAGGAGTGGAAACATATACCCAAAGCCCAAACAAACTCCACCCCTTGTCCAGCTGGATAATAAAGATATTAAACAATAATGGCTTCGGCCTCCATCCCTGATGGATATCTCTAGCCACCAAGCAAGCCTGTGTGAAAAGAGACAATTGGAGCAAAGGAAGAAGAACGAATTTAAGGGAGGGACCACGCTGTTTCCGACCCTTCCATTGCCTTTAATAGGCTGGTTTTACTCGCTCAGAGGCTGGCAGGCTAGCTGGCTGCCTCTGCCGGTGCTGAAGCCCCATCTAGAGCATCGCCGCGCTACTGCGCCCTCCGCCCCGCCAGGACCGGCACTGGCAGCGCTCCGGGGCGGGCAGCGAGGGGGATGCCACAGAAACCCGCCCGTCGCCTTTAAGGAAGGGGAGAAGGGTTAAGAAACCGAAGACAAAATGGTCTGCTCGACAATCCTGTGCTTCTGCTGTCAGGGCCCTTGGCAATGGCACCGCGGTAATTTGAATTTCAGACTTTGTATAGAAAAAGTTAACGTTGAACCCGCATTTTCAACAAAAAAATATAATCGCTTGGGTAACTACAGGCAGCTTCAGCTAGCAAGTGTCATCAAGCAAACTAATAGAAACCCTGCTATGGGATACTAATGAAGGAATTAACGGATTAAGGGTTTATTAATGTCAGTTGGCACAGTTTGCCAGGAACCCAGAATATCAAACAAATTTGATACTGTTTTAATGAGATTAAGCATTAGACTGATAATGAAGATTGTGATTGAAATAGTATCTTCACCAAATATCTGACATAATCGTGCATTAAAAAATGGCTATAAACAAAATCAATGTAACATATTAAATGTTAATTTTCAAAACTGGTTAACAACTAGGTGAAAAATAGACTATAGCTGAAGTGTTTTCATTCCCAGGCATCGCATGTTTTGTGAGCTTATA